ACGATGCAGGACGAGAAACCGGTCCCTGGGAAGTGGTCCAGACCTCTGGGGGGCGACGTCGTGAAAAAATCACGACGTCGGGGGTCTGGGTCCCCTCCCCGTGCGGCTCTTGCGGCTCCGAGCGCCGGTTTCTCTTCGTCGCCGAGGCGATCCACGAGACGCCCTCCTCGGTGGCCCTCGCCGGACCTGAGCGTGCAGCACGCCCGAGCGGTGCCGAGGCGCGCAGCGGCGGGGCCCTCAGCAGCGCGGTGGGTGCGCTCGCCCCCGCAGGGCCCGCGGGCGGCGCTCGTCCCAGGCTCACGGCTGCGGAAGGCGTGCTGCTGGCACGGCCCTCCGTGGGGCCTCCGGGGCAGGTGGCTGCGGAGGCGGGGCCCTCGGCAGCGCGGCGCAGGTGTGGCGGATGCGTTTGGCCCCCCCGCAGGGCCCCAGCCTGTCCAGATCCACCGCCTGCCGAGGTCCCAAAGGTCCAACCTTCCAGGCGGCGCTTGTGGATCGACCCCCGGCTCGGATTCTGCATCTTCGGGGGGGGAGGGGCCTTCTCTGCCCCACCGCTGCCGCCGTCCGCAGCGGCATCCGCGACAAGTCCGCGTCGGGCGCTGCATGGGCGTCAGATCGGCGATATATCCGCGCCAGATCGGCGCCGAGCGTCCATGCCGAATCCTCGTCGAGACTGCGTCGGATACATAGGGCGATTTCGGAAACCCTGAATACAAAATCGTCTTCATCTCTTGGGGGCGCATCTCTTACTTCCGGCACCTTCTGCCGCCCTTCCGGCGGCTTCCGCCGGCGGAGGCGGCCTCGTTTCACTTCCGCCGACCTTGCGCCACCCTTCCACCGCGGAAGAGATGACACCTCCTTCTATCCTCAGAGGCCAGGCCCTTTTTGGAACGCCCCATGTGTGGGAACAGAGAGATCTCGAGACCGCCACTTTTGCTCCCTGGGGCGCGTTCTGACCAGGATCGGAACGCGAATCTCAGGCCGTGGCGAAGAGAGCCCTCCCCGGGGCAAGCAGCGGCACCAATGCATCGCGCCTTCGCATGGAGGATGCAAGGATAGAACGCCCGTGCACAGGGGAGGAGGAGGAGGAGGAGGAGAAGGAGGAGGAGGAGGAGGAGGAGGCGGAGGAGGAGGAGGAGGAAGAGGAGAAGGAAGAGGAGGAGGGAGGAGAGGAGGAGGAGAAGGAGGAGGAGGAGGGGGAGGAACGGAGGAGCAGGAGGGGGAGAAGGAGAAGGAGGAGGAGGAGGAGGCGGAAGAGGAGGAGGAAAGGAGGAGGAGGAGGAGGGGGAGTTAAATGATCGTTCTGGGGACCTTTCTGGAGCAACTCGCTCCACTAATGCGGCGATGCTGCGTCGAGGGTCCGTCGACTCGAGTCGAACCATAATGAAATGTATTCAAGCTGGCATCGAAAGTTCCGTTAGGTGGGCCCCGGGCCCACATGACACATGACAGCCTCAAATGCCTCACGTCGGATCCGCGTCAAACGTCGGATCCGCGTCGGACTGACGCCGACTGCGTGTCGAATCGACGCCGAGTCCGCGAGAGAAAGAGAGAGAGAGAGAGAGAGACAAGAAACACGTCTTGAAAGCCCCACCTCAGTCCGTGCAACTGTTGGATACTTCAAGCTTCGGAGTCATGACGGGGAGGACGTTTCAGGACCAGAAATTGTCGGCCGGGCGGGCCGATAATTCCTGGTGGTCAAGACGAGGCAGAGCTGCCCGTAAGAAGCAAGAAAGGAGGAGGAGGACGAGGAGGAGGAGGAGGAGGAAAAGGAGAAGGAGGAGGAGGAGGAGGAGGAGGAGGAGGAGGAGGGAGGAGGAGGGAGGAGGGAGGCGGAAGGGGGGAGGAGGAGGGAGGAGGAGGAGGAGGAGGAGAGGAGGAGGAGGAGGAGGAGGAGGACACGGTGCATCGGGAAGAGGAGGAGAATCGGGACGAGGAACAGGAGGGGAGGAGGCAAAGATTAGAGGAGGCGCGCGGCGGCCAGGGTGCGTCACCGCCACGGCCGCCGCCAACACACCGCCGGCGACGAGGAGGCCGGCGCCAGCGACGGCGGGGACGACGACGGCGGCGGCGGCGGTGAGGACGAGAACGTCGTCGTCGTCGTCGCCGATGAGGACGTCGACGTCGTGGGCGATGGCGTCGACGAGGACGTCGACGTCGTCGACGACGCCGTCGACGAGGACGCCGTCGACGTCGTCGATATCGTCGACGACGACGGCCGCGGCGGTGGCGGCGGCACGCTGGGCCGAGCTCCGGAGGAAGCTGGAAGCGCGCCGGCTCGTGGGCCGCGGCGCGGGGCAGGGGCGACCCCTGCGCCGAAGGGCGGGGGGAGGGGGAGGGGCCTCGAGCAGCCTCCTCCTCCTCCTCCTCCTCCTCCTCCTCCTCCTCCTCCTCCTCCTCCTCCTCCTCCTCCTCCTCCTCCTCCTCCTCCTCCTCCTCCTCCTCCTCCTCTGCCTCCCGTGCCCAGCCTCCAGGACGAGGGAGGGAGGGAGGGGGGGAGGGAGGGAGGGAGGGAGGGAGGGAGGACGAGGAGTGAGGGGCCGCAGGTCGCGAGGTGGGTCCGCGCGAGCGGGGGCACACCAAGAGCCCCGCGCCGCAGGCGCCCGCGCTGTCTGCCGGGGCAGTGCGGGCGGGCCGGCCCGCAGCAGGCGCCGCGTTGGTTGGCGGTGGACGGCGTCAGCACGAGCAGAACGGCGCGAAGCTTCGTCCGTAACTCTCGCTGTGAATCCTCACTGGCAGGGGCTCCGACGATGCGGCGAACCCGCGAGCTCAAGCCGAACACCTTCCCGAACAACAAATTCCCGATCAGCTGCCCGAACAGAAAAAACAGCTTCCGGAGGCCTGTTCGGCTCGAGTCCGGAGGCCTGCTCGGCTCCTGTGCCGAGGTTGGCTCTGGAGTTCGTGGGTTTGCTGTACTCTGCAGGGGCTCCTGGCAGGATGCGAGGCGGGGATTTATCCATATCCACCGCCTGGGAACCGACGTCCTGGTGCCCCAGCGGGCGGCGGACATAGATATATTTCGGCCCCCGGGGGCCCGACTATGTCCATACCCACCGCCTGCCGAGGCTCCGAAAGCTGACCCTCCGGTGGTCATGTATAAATTCCCGCCTCGGACTGGAGCCATGGGTGTCCCCGCCGACCCGCTCACGCGTTCTGCCGGTTGCACGGCCGTCTGGCTTGCCTGTTTGCTCCTCCTCCTCCTCCCCCTCCTCCTCCCCCTCCCCCTCCTCCTCCCCTCCCTCCTCTCTCCCCTCCTCCTCCTCCTCCTCCTCTCCTCCTCCTCCCCCTCCTCCTCCTCCCCTCCTCCTCCTCCTCATCCTCCTCCTCCTCCTCCTCCTCCTCCTCCTCCTCCCTCCTCCTCCCTCCTCCCCTCCTACCCTCCCCCTCCTCGTCCTCGTCCTCCTCCTCCTCCTCCTCCGCCTCCTCTCCTCCTCCTCCCTCCTCCTCCTCCCCTCCTCCTCCTCGTCCTCCTCCTCCTCCTCCTCCTCCTCCTCCTCCTCCTCCTCCTCCTCCTCCCCCGCGTCTGGCGTGCCTGTTTGCTTGCGGACAGGGGCGCAGGGCGCGTCGTCGGCGGGCCGCACGGGGGCAGGGGGCGCACGGCGGAGCCAGGGGCAGACAGCACGCAGCCGAAGCGCCGACTTGGGTGTGCAGGGCCACGTGCGCTGGTCGCGGCTGTTCGCGGGTCTTAGCTGCCCCGATACGCAACACGCAACACGTAGCGTCTTGATACGGAGTTCAACCCGTAGACTGAACACGTAAGTCTGACGCGACACGTTCGCCAAAACGTGGGCCAATACGTTGAGCCAACACGCAACGTATTGACACGGGTGACGCGGACGTTTTGAACATGGCACGTGTTGCGTATCAGAACGGGCGTATCGAGGCAGCTAAGGGCGGGTCGGGTCGCGGATGGGTCGCGGGCGGGTCGCGGGCAGGCGGGTCGCGAGCGGATGGCTGGGCGGGGCGCGGGGCGGCGACGACAGGGCAAAGCATGACGACAGCCCGCGCCGCGGGCCCCCCGGGCATGAGACGGTGCAGACCCACTCGACCCCCTCGTTCTGACAGCACAAACCTCTCCACCGATGGAGTCGCCTGCCTCGAGGCGGCAGGCCAAGTCATGCCCCTTCTGCCGCCTGGCAGCCTCTCCCTTGCCTGCCCTCCTCCTGCCCCTCCTGCCGAGTCTCGCCCTGGTACCTCGATGCACCGAGGAGGGATGCGTTCGAGCGTTCTTGAATTGGTTGCCTGGTTTGGGCTCACTCGGGGCCTCCTGAGTCGGGACCCTTGGCAACAGAACAACTTGACACCTTCTCTTACCAGCCTGGAACATATCCCTATTCCTAAGCTGGGCATCGCCTCAACAGAATGCCAATCTTAGGGATTCCCTTAGTTTTTCAGGGCGCATCCCTAAGATTGTCATCGCCTTTTGGCGTGTCAATCTTAGGGATAGGGATACGTTCGAGGCTGGTGATTATCCTCCTCCTCCTGCTCCACCTCCTCCTCCTCCTCCTCCTCCTCCTCCTCCTCCTCCTCGTCCTCCTCAAGAGAAGAAGAGAATGCTTATCGCTTAACCTCTACAAAGACGGCGACAGCGGCGTGATGCTCTGAAGACGAGCATCAGTTGTGGCCTGAGCGACTGCCCTGCTGGAGTGCAGCCGACAATGCCGTGGTCCAAGGCGTAATCCAAATCCAAGTCTTCCCCCTGCGGCCGCTACCCTGCCCTCAAGGATCCCCTCTCCTCCACCGTGCTCTCCTCCCAATCTGCGTGACACCCCCCAAACCCGCAGTCCTGCCCGCTCCCACCCTCCCACTCCCTCCGCCTTCTCCTCCTTCTCCTCATGCCTATCTCTCTCTCTCTCTTCCTGTCTGTCTCTCTCACTTTCTCTCTCTCTCTCTCTCTTTCTCCGCCTCTCTCTCTCTCTCTCTCCCTCGCTCTTCAAAGACCTTCGGCGATAAGAACAAGCGCACCGCCTTCCCCTCTCTCCGTCCCGTCCCTCCATGGTGCACGTGGGCATGCAATCCCAACATGTACGGACGGCTCGAACGGACGATCCGCACTGTACCCACCACACACTTGTTGTGGCTTGCGCTCCCCCAGGGCGTGTCTAAGTCAACGCCAGGCAGAGATGCCAGCTCTAAGCACAGGTCTGCAGGTCCTACACATACTGCGCGCTCGGTGTGGGCCCTTCTCCCTTGTACACCGAGACGTCCTCAACACGCAAACTTTTCTGGAAGCGTTCGAAAGCCGTCTCGTTTGAATGTGGGGACAATGCTGAAGGCATGAACTTGACCGCCCGCCCAGGCGGAAGCAAGAGAAAAGCGTTGTCCTCGAAAATGCCATGTGCCAGAGTCGTCAGGGTTACGTACACCGCCACGGCATCAGATTTAACCAAGGCGGTGTAATGTCCACCGCAATCTTTTGTGGCCTCCACTGACAAAACAGCCTTCTTTAAAATCATCTTCTCAGGTGTCGCGAATGGAATGGTGTTCTGGGAGACCACGGTGCCCGAACCATCTATAACAACGGCCTGTAGAATCTCACCCACGCCATCCAAATTCTGCACTGCCTCTGACTGGACCCATTTGGTGGTGCCAGGCCCAGCCGGCAGCACGACATTCACCTTGTAAAGCGTCGTGACAATGCCTGTCTGAAAATGCGTGGAATTGAGAACAAGCGTGCCAGTGAACGGAAAGGGTGAATCGTTCTTCACGTAGCAGACGCCGTTCTGCCCACATGTCGCCATTACGTCCTGGAATATGGAACTTTTGTACCAATAGTGCAAAGGTTTCCATCGTCCACCGATGACCTGGCCATCGAACTTTGGGTTTCCGTACTCGATGGAACCCCAACCGCCAGTGGGCCATATCTCGTTGTACTGCCAGACAATCACTCCGAACGAGTTGCTAGCACGGAGGCCCTCAATCTTGCCCTTGATGTGCAAAGCATGCCCCAGCATGCATTGGTACAGCTGCTTCTTGAAGGTAAACTCCCCTGACGAATTGAAATGCGACGCCCCAGACTTACCAAAGAAGACCTCGACAAAGTTATCGCAAGGATAATTGCGCTGCGCCATGACGTTTGCACCCTTGCACTGCACCGTGGGACCATCTTCGCACGTGTCGCTGGGCTGCCCTGCATGCAGTGACCAATGCTTCGGGTCCAAAGTCGGAGACATGGACTCGAATGAGCTCATGACCGCCCCACCGAACTCGCTCGTGAAGAGGTTCTGCAGTGCGGGGCCCGTCTTCGTCTCCTGCAGCTTGAGTGGGATATCAGAGTCGAAGAGCTGAAGTACTCCACCGTGGTTGTTGACCGCGGGAAATCCAGTGCCATGTTGGTAAGGCCCGTGCACTTCGATGAGCCCGCCGTAATCAGGGGTTGTCAGATTGTTCCCATTCGGGAACTGCGTGAGCTTGTGAACACCAGTGGTCCAACCCAAGGCCGGGCAGGACGGCCATACCACCCGCGACTTGTCTTCCTGTGCCACGACGGTCATGACAAACGTCGCGTAAATGCCAGTGTCAGTCCCCATTTTGACCTGGCACTCGTTGCAGCCGTCCCAAATTACGATTGAAGCGTGGTGAGACAGACGGCGGACCTGATGCCTCAGCTCTGAATCCTGCGTGGGGGTAGCCCTGGGATTTTGCCCAGCATACTGCATGTCGTGGTAGACCAACAGTCCCAACTCGTCGCAAGTATCATACCAGACGTCAGGCAGGAACATGCCTCCGCCCCAGACGCGCAGAGTGTTGAAATTTGCCGCCGCCGCACTCTTCACAAGCTCTGCGTGCGCGCCTGCATCCATCCAACCTTCAATCTCCTCCATGGGAATCATATTTGCTCCTCGAGAAAATATGATTGCACCGTTCACGCGGAAGTACATGCCATGTGCGTCTGAGCCTTCCTCATCGACAGCCTTCTGCCTATACGCATCATCAGTGTCGTTACCCGTGACCAAGGCTACGAAACGGAAGCCGATTCTGCGCTCCGTGGAGACGATCTCTCCACTCACATCCGGCGTAAACGTGGCGCTGATGCGGTAGAGCGGCTGAGCACCCATGCCGCTTGGCCACCAAAGTTTCACTTGAGACGCACTCGCCTCTAACTTGATGGCCACGCTGCTGCGACCGGATGGAAGCTCAATCCTCTGGCTCAGAGACGCGCCCCATTCCGTTCCAATCGAAAGAGTTCCAGAGGTGCCTTGCTTCGACGCATAGAAATGCACGCGGGACCGAACCTCGAAACCGCTATGGTCACCGTCAACAAGCATGTTTACGGGATACCCACCTTTGAAGAAGACGTGCGGAACAAAGTGCTCAATTGCTGCTGCGCCGATGCTGACGATGTAAACGGACTTCCAGATTCCTTTCGTGAACGTCCTTGTGTCTTCTTGCTTTGTGTCCGAATATGGTGCCCAATCCCAACCGCCTGAGCAAGCCATCCAACGACCATCGCACACGATTTTTTTGTCGAATGAGACCTCCAGAGAATTAGTCTCCTTCAAACTTTCCAATGGGAACGTGTACCGCAGAAATTGGTCCGTCATAGTGCCGAGTGTCAGTCCGTTCACCTTGACTTCTGCACCCATTTTCACTCCATCAAACACGAGCACAGCGTTCGGCATAGCCTCAAAGCTGGTGGAGTAAGTCCAGACGTTGTCATCCCATAGGCTACTGTTTAGCCAATTGAGCTCGTAAAGCGGATTGCCAATCATATCAGCAGCATGCAGGTCACTGACCAAATCCCCAGGAACAGTCGCAGGGATGCTGAGCCCTGGTGTCGAAGCGAGCCATCTGCCGTCGAGGTATCGAATTGCGTCGCCTGCGATGGGATTGTCCCGAAGACCAGACCCATGCACTACATCAAGCGTGAATACGAATAAGCCTGCTCCAGTATAAGCCCGCCTCATATCCTTGAACTGCGCAAGAGGGGCTGCTTCAAGGCTTGCTGCGGCGATTCTGCTGCTCTTGGACCGAAACGGCTGCGAACGGAGGACGAGGAAGAGACATAGGCGGATGGGGGGGGAGAGGGACGGAATAGAGAATGGCAGAAGAGGATGGGCGACAGGAGAGGGGAGAACCTCGTGCACGGTGGCCTGCTTGGGCCCTGCTCGGTGTGCAGAGTACGCGCGCAAGTCGCAGGCCACAGGCGGCCACCCCGGTCCTGCCGAAGAGGCCTGGTCCATATCCGAGCTGGCCCTGATCAACCAAACGCTCTGGCTCTAGGTTCGGGCCGCAGAGCAGGCACATTGATGAACGCCGTGGCCACTCGGGGCATCTTCCCGAGGGCTGTGCCGGTGATGGAACTATCAGTGGATGGGTGGCAGATGCTCTCGCAAATTCCATTGCGAGGGCATCTGCCCTCAGCAGAACCAATTGGCGGAGACGAACTCCCAGGCGAAACAACTTCCTGTGGCAGTCGGCTTACGCTGGCAGGCCTCAGAGTGCCTTCGGGGGCGGCCCACGATGCCCAAGTCACTCGAGCACCTGGGATTCATTAGCAGTGCATGCGGAATGCGCACGTCCAGGAGCTGAGCCGAGGAAGCTGGCATCAGAGAACCGAGAGCCAGTACTGTGAACGGTGATGTGCAGCAGGAAGCGAACAACGGCTCGGACAGACGGGAGGAGTACTCAGAAGGAAAGCAACCATAATGATAAGAAGCCCAGCATGGAAAGCCAGCGGCCATTTCGGCGGCGAGCAGCGAGCATGGACAACCACCACACCAAGAGCGCGGCCGCGACCACCACACCGTTCGCTGCGACAGCGGCACCCGCAACAGACGCCACGAAGAGCACGAAGGAGACAGAGCGAGCGACGCGAGCGGGCACGCAAGGGACCGACCAGTGGGCGGGGAGGCAGCCCGAAACGAGAAGCATCGCGGGCGGCGGCTTTCGGAGGCGCTGCCCACGGCCGCGGTGACGGCGCTGGCGGTGCCAGCGCCAGCTGTGGTGGTACCAGCGCCGGCGGCACTGGCGGCAGCTCGGCAGCGCCAAGATGAGGCCCCTAGGGATGGAGCCCTAAGGTTATGTCGGGCGTGTCCCCCTACATAGGGATTTTCGACGAAAAAAACAAAATACCCCCAAAATGCCCCAAACAGGTTGAAAAATACTAAAAACATAATCCCCATATTATTTTTTGACTAATTTTGAATATTCCCCCTGTAGAGGGACAGGCCCGACTTAACCCCAAGGACGAGGGGCCTCACACGCTATAGACTACTGCAACCTCGACATGGCACCCCTGTCTATCCACGGGGCCCCAGCCCTCGGGGCCCCCTCCCTCGGGGAGCCCTGCCTACCTTCAGGGGCCCACCCCCCAGGGCCCCTTCTCTTAGGAATCCCTTCCTGCCTCCAGGGCCCCCCCGTCTTATTGTTATTATTATTAATATTATTACTGTTGTTATTAGTTTTCTTCTTCTTCTGATTATTCTTATTATTACTACTACTACTATTACTATTACTATTATTCTCGCCCCCCCTTTACTATTACTATTATTATTACTATTACTATTACTATTACGATTACGATTACTATTACGATTACGATTACGATTACGATTACGATTACGATTACGATTACGATTACTATTACTATTACTATTACTAGTACTATTACTATTACTAGTACTATTACTAGTACTATTACCATTACCATTACTATTACTATTACTATTACTATTCCTAATACTAGTACTATTACTACTACTAGTACTATTACTACTACCTATTACTATTACTATTACTATTACTATTACTATTACTATTACTATTACTATTACTATTACTATTACTATTACTATTACTATTACTATTACTATTACTATTACTATTACTATTACTATTACTATTACTATTACTATTACTATTACGATTACTATGACTATGACTATGACTATGACTATGACTATGACTATGACTATTACTATTACTATTACTATTACTATTACTATTATCATTACTATTACTATTACTATTACGATTACGATTACGATTACTATTACGATTACTATTGCTATCACTATCACTATCACTATTACTATTATTACTACTATTCTTACTATTACTATTACTAGTTCTAGGTTTACTACTATTGCTGTTAGTATTATTATAAATATTCTTATGCTTATTTTTTCTTCCTTTTATTATTCTAGCCCCCCCCCCAGGGCCCCATTTTCGAACCGCCGCATGGCATGACGGTCGGTCGCGACGGTGCTGGCGGCAGCGGCGGCGGCGGCGCCCGCGGCGGCCGCAGGCGGCGCGGCCGCGCACCGGGCCGAGGTCGGCACGCTCCGCGAGGGGTCCGCGGGGGCTGGCCGCGGCTGCCCGGGGCGCCGCCTCGGGTGCGCCTGGGGGGGTCGACGGTGCTCTCGGCGCTCTGGCTGGCTCCATGCCCAGACATCGGGCGTCTCGAAAAGATCGAGGCGGGAGTTGTTCATCGTGTTCGGCCTCTCGGAGCCCTCGCCGGGCCTCGGGGTCGTCAGAAAGCGACTCGGGGCGAAAAACCGGCCCTGGGGAAGTGGTCGGGAGGTCGGGGGCCCGTGTCTCGGACAAAATCGAGACGTCGGGTGTCTGGGTTCCCGTCTCCCTGCCCCTGCCCCAGCTGGCCGGCTCCGGGAAAACAGGAAGCCCGAGTAATGGAAACGAGGAGTGGAGTCGATTGTTCTCTCGGCGCTCTGGCTGGCTCCATGCCCTGCCCCTTCCCCAAGCTGGCCGGCTCCGGAAAACATGACGCCCAAGTAGCTGAAACGATGAATGGAGCCTCCTGTGGGGACGGTGTCTCGCTTCCTCCTGGGGGCGGCGTCTCACTTCCGCCACCTTCCGCTGGCCTCCCGCCGCCCGTCGGGGAGACGATGTCGACCTCTCGCTTCCTCGAGGACGAGGCCCTGTCTGGACGGCGCCATCGGCCGCTCGGCGCCCGCGGGTGCCCTGCCCCGGTGGCCATGGGCCGCCGCTCGTCGGCACGCTGACGACGACGCGACAGAGACCGTCTGTGCGATCCCAGACATCGGGCGTCTCGAACAAAATCGAGACGGGAGTTTTTCATCGTCTTCGGCCTCTCGGAGCCCTCGCCGGGCCTCGGGGTCGTCAGAAAGCGACTCGGGGCGAAAAACCGGCCCTGGGGAAGTGGTCGGGAGGTCGAGGGCCCGTGTCTCGAAAAAATCGAGACGTCGGGTGTCTGGGATTGGCTGGCGGGAATCCCCGCTTCGATCGGGTCAATCTCCGTCGCCCTGTTCCATCTGAGTCGCTTGGCACTCGCAGGTAACATGCTCCAGGGGCCAAGCGCCGTCGATCGTCGGCATGCTGCCGACGACGCGGCCATGGGCCGTCGGAACATCCGCGACGGCCCATGGCTATCACGCCCCATACCAGCGATGGATGGGCGATTGCACAACGTCGACCTTCAGGGGTCTGGACCCCTTTTCCCGTGACCCCTTTTCCGTCGCCCCGAGCCGTCTTTTGACGACCGCCGGAGGCCGAGAATGGCGAACAAAGACCCACGTCGTGACTTCTTTCGGGCGTTGGCAGAACTGCGTTTAGTGGAACCTGGTTTAGTGATTTGTACCGGGGGCGCCCCCCCCGTCCCATTTCCACTAGCCGGAACTGCCGTCACCCGAAAAACACGAGTTACGGCAAACCTGGTTTAGTGAATCTGGCCAATTGACGGGCCCCAGGGCCCTACCACTAACCGGGTCCCCTTATCCGGGGTCCTGGCTATACCCGATTCTTGGGGGCCTGGGACCTCACATCGCCCCCCGAGGAGAGCCCGCGGGGGGGCGGGGCGGCGATGGCGCCGGTGGCGCCGCCCGAGCACTCCGGCAGCGGCCCCAGCAGCTTCGCCGCCAGGCCGCCGGCGCCCGCGGGGTCTCCGGCGGCGGCGGGAGCGGGCGCACCGAAGAGCCGCAGGCACTTCTTCGGGGGGGGGGGGGGGCGGGGCGCTCAGTCGCCGTGGTCGTCGTCGTCGTGGTCGTCGTGGTCGTCGTCGTCGTCGTGGTCGTCGTGGTCGTCGTGGTCGTCGTCGTCGTCGTCGTCGTCGTCGTCGTCGTCGTCGTCGTCGTCGTCGTCGTCGTTCGTCGCCACCGCCGCTGTCCTGGTCGGAGACCCGCGGGCGCGAGTTACATGCAGGGCGCAGGCCCTTGTTGCCGCCCGCGCCGTCGTGTCGCGTCGTCGTCCAGGAGCAGCAGGCCCGTCTTCGGGAGGGGGAGGAGACCGCCGTCGTCGTCCTCCTCGTCATCGCCGCCGTCGTCGCCGATGAGGAGGAGGAGGAGGAGGAGGAGGAGGAGGAGGAGGAGGAGGGAGGAGGGAGGGGGAAGAGGAGGGGGAGGGGAGGGGGAGGAGGGAGGAGGAGGAGGAGGAGGAGGAGGAAGGTGAGGAGGCACGTCCTTCGGCGGGATGGGGCGCACTTCCCCCCTCATCCGTCCTTCTCGCTCCGCATCCTCCATCTCCGTCTTCCTCTGTTTTCCTCCGCAGCCGCATGCGCAGCAATGCGGCGAAGTCGACCACGCGCTCCTCTTCTCCCTCCCTCCTCCTCCCTCCTTCTCCTCCCTCCCTCTCCACCTTCCCCCCTCCTCACTCCCTCCTCCTCCATCCTCCTCCCTCCTCCTCCTCCACTTCCTCCTCTCCTCCTCCTCCTCCTCCTCCTCCTCCTCCTCCTCCTCCTCCTCCTCCTCCTCCTCCTCCTCCTCCTCCCCCACCTTTCCTCCCCATTTTATGATGCCCCCTTCTCATCCGACTCCTGACCCCCCCCCGTCCTCGGAGACCTACGACACTGTGGGACCCCCTTACGGCAGGCCTCGCCAAACGAACCCCGAGGGATCCCTCGGAGGCCTCTCCGCAGGCCCGAGGTGCCAGGCTCCCCGGAAGCCCCGCGGGGCCTCAAAGAGAGGCCGCGGGCTCGTCCTGCTTCGTCGCGTTCGCCTGCTGCTGACCTGCCAGAACCGACGAGCCGTCATGTTCCTGATCGTCTTCGTCCCTCTCCTCGCCCTCCTCCTCCTCCTCCTCCTCTTCCCTTCTACTATCTCCATCTCTTCCTCTTCCTCCCTCCTCCTTCTCCTCCTCCCTCCATCTCCGCCTTCTAATTTCTTCCTCCCACTCATCCTCCATTCTCTCTCCTCCCTCCGCACTCTTTCTCCTCCTCCTCCTCCTCCAACTCCCTCCTCCTGTATTCCTCCTCACCCTCTACTCCGGCGCTGATCCAAGGAATCCGCGCGGACCTGGGACAAAGTGTGTTCATGCAGATTCCTCTTCTTCTTCGAGGAACTCCTGGAAACAACTCCTGGAAAGTCCGCAGAAACCTGTGCACACCACTGGGAAAACACAGGAGAACGCCCGAGGACACCCGAGAACTGTCGAAACGACTTGTCATCGTCTTCAGTGATCCTCCGCCTCCATTCTCTATTTTCTATTATCTATGATATGGATTCCTATTATGTTGTTACATCCTCTGTTATTATCCTCCTTTATCCTCCTTCTCCTTCTTCTTGTTTACCGATATTCATGTTAATATCTATTATTGTTATCCTCCTCGTTCTCCCCCTCCGACTCCTTAACTCCTCCTCCCCCCTCATTATTCTTCGTCCTGGTCTGCCGCGTCTGTCCTGCGTGTTGGTATCTCCCACCGAATGACAATTCATGCAAGAAATCCTTCTGTCTCTTTCCTCTTCCTTCTCCTCCTCCTCCTCCTCCTCATCCTCCTCCTCCTCTTCCTGCTCCTCCACTCCTTTCTCCCTCTCCTCCTTCTGCCCCCCCCCCTCCTCATCCCCCCTGAAATCCGACGTAGCGAAACACATGAATCATCGCAACAAAATCACAACCATAATCCCCGACCCCATCTTCCAGAGCCATTCTTCGAGCCTGATCGATCCGTGAGGGTCCCGGCCCGAAGATAGGCGAAAAGTTCCTGGTCGAAAAACTTGAAACGCCAGGACATCAGGATCCCCCCCCCGCAATTCCCCCCCCCTCCCTCCTGCTGGCCATCGCTTGGACGTCCATTTCCTGTGTACTGTTCGATTTCTTGCGCGAATTTTCCCCCACGATGATCCTGGAGGCTCCTCGCCCCCAAGATGATCCTCGCCCTAAGAAAATGATCCTGGATGCTCCTCGCCCGAGATGATCCTCGCCCCAAGAAGATGACCAAGACTTCTCCTCGAGATGATCCTGGATGCTCCTCGCCCCCCCAAAGATGCACACGCCCGAGCGATGCCACGCCCGTCTGCGCGCGTCCTCGGCCGCCGCCGCGCCGCCGCCGCACCGCGGCGCCCCGCCGGGCGCGCGGCCGTGGGGGCGGAAGAGGCCCCGGAAGTCCACGCCGGGCGTGCGCGTCATGCCGGGGGGGCGCGCGGCCGCGCGGCCGCGCGGGGGGCCTCCTCCCCCTCGCGGCGCAGGCTCGGGCGCGAGGGGGGGGGGGGAGGGCGCTCGCGGAGAGGGGGGCTGGGAGAGGGGGCAGGGAGGGCGCGCGGGGAGGGGGGGGGAAGGCAGGGAGGGGGGGGGCCGGGGGGGGGCGCGAGCCTGAGCTCCTGGCGGGTCCACTTTTTCGAGCTGGGCGCGTGATCGTCTGGCTTCGGGCCCCGGGGCCCTCTCCGATCGATCCGGCTCGAAGAATGGGGTAGGAAGATGGGGTCTAGCGTTCCTGTCGTGATTTTTTACGATGTATGATTTACTTCGCGCTGTCGGATCTCAGGGGAGAGCTAGCCCAAGACGGCCCATGAGGCCTCCAAGAGGGCCTCCAGGAAGGCCAGAAAAGGCCAACAACACTTTCTCCCCGTAGGCTTTCAAAGGATTTTGACATTTGCTTCGTTTCGGCCTTCCGACGGCCCGATACGGCCCAAGAGCCACCGAAGATCGCCCAAAGATCGCCCAAGAGGCCTCCAAGATGGCCCTAGAACGGCCCAAGAGGCCCCAAAGACGGCCCCAAGAGGCCCCCAAGACGGCCCAGGAGGCTTTTAAGACGCCCAAGATGGCCTCCAAGACAGCCCTGGAGCACCCCAAGAGGGCCCCAAGTCGGCCCAGAAAGACCCCCCCAAACGGCTTCCGACGGCGTCAGACGGGCCAGGAGCCCACCAAGATGGCCGAAATTGGCTCGAAGCTGGCCCAAGACGGCCCAAGGGGCCTTCAAGAGGGCCTCCAGGAAGGCCCGAAGAGGCCAAAATCATCGATGCCCCATGAGCGTTTGAAGGATTGTGGCCTTTGCTGTTGTTCGGCTTTCCGACGGCCTGACACGGCCCGAGTGCCCCCAAAGATCGCCCAAGAGGCCCGAGATGGCCCCAAGAGGCCCCCAAGACGGCCCAAGAGGCCTCCAAGACGCTCAAGATGGCCTCCAAGACGGGCCAAGAGCCCTCCAAGACGTCCTCCAAGAAGGCCCGAAAGGGTCAACATGGCCTTCAGGCGGCCAAGATGACCTTCAAGATGCCCACGTGTTCCCCGAAGGCTTTCCAAACCGATTCGGGGAACACCTGGTCCGATAGCTTGGCAGGTCTGGCCTCAACGTTCGGCCACATGGGCGCTTCCAAAAAGGCACGGGGCGGCGGTGATTCGCAGTAGGCGTCTTCGATATACATGTGTATATCTGCGTAAGGATACCGTAAAACCATCGCACGCTTGACGCGCGCTCAGGTCCTGCCTGTCTTGAAATCTCCTCGCGTGAAGCGCGGGCGGTGGGACCGCGCAAAGCCCTTAGGGCTCTTTGGGCCTAGCGAGGAGCGCTCCATGAAGGCCGTCGCTGCCTCCACAGAGCTCCTGGGGACACGTTGGCCCAACGAAACCTTTTGGCCGGACTACTCAACATCGAGTCGTGTCGGAAAGTGCGCCTCGGGGCGCCTCGGAGGACCTCGGAGGACCTCGGCGGAGGAGGAGGAGGAGGAGGAGGAGGAGGAGGAGGAGGAGGAGGAGGAGGAGGAGGAGTAGGCCGACGCGGAAGAGGACGGTGCCCCCCCGAGAGGCTTGCCGCCGCCGCTTGCTGCGTCGGCACGGAGCCAGAACCGGATCGGATCGGCCGCACCAAGATGCAATGCGCACAGCAGCGCCGCGCCGGCATCGTGCCGCACCAGATCGTCGGAGATTCGAGGTCACACCGAATCGAGGCTGGCGAGCGCGACATCGAATCGGATCGAATCGGAGTGTGCGAGGCGGGGTTCATCCATATCCACCGCCTGCCTGGTGCCCCAGCGGGCGGTGGATGTGGAACGCGAAATCGAATCGGATCGAATCGGATTGTGCGAGGCGGGGATTCATCCATATCCACCGCCTGGGAACCGCCTGCCTGGTGCCCCAGCGGGCGGTGGATGCGGATCTATTCTGGCCCCCTGGGGGCCGAGCATGTCCATGGCTGCCCACCGCCTCTAGAGGCCCCCGAAGATGGGTCCTCCAGGCGGTGGTCGTGTCTCAACTCCAGCCTCAGAGATTGGGCCCTGAGGCCAGGCGGATCGGGAGCTTCGGGACCGGGCCTCCAGTCCCCGCTGCGCCGTCCGCAGCTCGTCCCTCACGCGCCAGGCCTTGTCCGCGCCGCGGCACAGCAGCACCTGGCCGCGATGGAGTCCCAACCTTCCCCTCCTCCCTCCTCCCTCCTCCTCCCTCCTCCCTCCCTCCTCCCTCCCTCCCCTCTCCGCCCTCCGCCCTCCTCCTCCTCCCTCCCTCCTCCCTCCCTCCTCCCTCTCTCCTCCCTCCTCCCTCCTCCCTCATACCCCCTCCCAACCCTCCCCTCCCCACTTCTTAAAGAGACGTCTTTCCTTGCCTGATTGGTCGGACATGATTCTGGGGCCGAGGCGCATCCCGAACGCAGTCCGTGAGGCGGAGTGCGGCAGGCGACCATCATCCCTGGGGCGGAGTGCGGCAATGTGAGACGCGTCGCCAACCCGTCCGTCTTCCCTCTCCTCCGCAACCCTGGACTCGCCCCTCCTCCTCCTCCTCCTCCTCCTCCTCCTCCTCCTCCTCCTCTTCCTCCTCCTCCTCCTCCTCCTCCTCCTGCTCGACCTCCCCCACCTTCTCCAAGATCACTATTCGTGTTCGTCGTCGTCGTCGTCGCCCTCCTCAGACTTCGCCGCATCATCCTTCCCTCCCTGCCTCCTCCCTCCCCATCATACCCTTCCCTCTTCTCAGTTTCCGCTCTCCGTCCCTTCGACCCCAACACCTTCTGCGCACTTCGCCGCACCAACACTGACTCGATAGTTCCCGTGTTTGAGGGCAACGCAACGACGCCAACCTGACGTCACTGCACAAACCTCGTGATCAGTGCAGCGGCCCCAGCAGGAGAAACGCCCGCTGCAGGCTCTTCGCAGCGCCGGCGTGCGCAGGGCCGCTTGGACGTTGCCAGCGCAGCCAGCGGCCGATAGATGGAGTCCCATCGGAGCCGGAAGAGGGGAGGAGGAATAGGAGGAGGAGGAGGAGGAGGAGGAGGAGGAGGAGGAGGAGGAGGAGGAGGAGGAGGAGGAGGAGGAGGAGGAGGGGGAAGAGGAGGTCGGTCGGTCAATCGCCATATGAGGAGGGGGAGGAGAAGGAGGAAGAGGACCCTAAAGAGGGAAGGGCGGCCGGCTCGAATCCATAACGTATGCTACATGTCCACCACCTGGGGGGGCCGATGTCGCGGGACACCGGGGGGTAATGCGTAGACAGATCTTCGGGCCCAAGGGGGCCCGAGCATGTCCAGAAAGAAAGCGCTTGGAAGACGGACGACGGGAGGGGGGGTGCGAATCCCCTCCCCCCCCATCGAAAGAGAAAGTTTCGAAGTCGGTAGGGGTTCGACCTGCCCCCCGCGTGAAAAGTTGGGGCGGGGGTTCGAACGCCCCCTTCCCATCCGGCGCCAGCAAACGACCACGACAACGAAGAGGACGAGGACGACGGGATGACGCTAACGACGTGTCCCGTCCGACCGCCAGGCCAATCGACTCCCCCACGACGTCATCGTCGTCTCCGCCGTCGTCGTCGACGTTGTGTGTTGTCGGCGGAGAGAGGGAGGTCCCCCCTAGACTTTCGAGGGGAGGGGGGGATAATGGGAAAGGCGCCTTCTTGTCACCCCGACCTCATTGGCTGCATGTCACAACAGCAGAGCTGCGCCGCGGCGCGAGACGGAGCAGCGAAAGGCGGCCGCCAACTCGCACACGACCGCGCGCCGAATAGTCCACGGAGCCGTGGAGCGGAGAGCCGTGAAGCAGTGAGCCTTCTCGCCAGGGAGGAGGGAGGTCCCAGTTCCGCATGGGAGGGGAGAGGGGGATTCGGTTCGGGGACGGGGTCCCGGATCCAGAGGCGGGGGCCGTCGCACCAGTGGAGAGTACCTCTTGGCCGTGAGCGGTTGGCGGCCATTCTTGGACTTCCTGCTCCCCCTCTCTCTCTCTCTCTCTCTTTCGCTCTCATCATCCCCCTCCAATGCTCGCGTGGGCCATGCGCGCGGGTACCGTCCACACGAGCTAATCTACAGACAGACTCTAGAGTCTCGGGTGCACGGGTAGTCTCGGGTGCGCGGGTGATCTGTGCGTGCTCCACTCGGCCCTCAAGCCTACAGCGCATGCGGTTCACAGGGCAACAACGAAACATGGGATTCGAGAGCCGCCTTCCATACAGTCCGTGGTCCGCCGTCTTCCCATCCTCCTCCGCATCTCTTCGAAGCACGCTCTCCCCCCCTTCCCGCGCTCAGCCGGAGCCGAGGCCGCCGCCGCCGCCGAGGTGGACGGCCTCCGCACTCCTCCTCACCTCCTCCTCTGCCCGCATCGAGCTCGCCTAAGCGGCCGCACCCGCGAGCACCAGGCGCGCGCGGCTCCACGGCCACGCCTTGGCCGGCCACGGGCGCCCTGCGATTGGCGAGCCGCGCCCGCGCCAGGGCGCCCTTGGCGCTGGGACGCCCGCACGCCCTCTTGAGGGAGCAGGAGCGCGCGGCTCCGACCGCACCGCAGGCGAGGCACGCCACGAACGGCGCCTCACGCCGCAGCTCCCCCTCCTCCTCCGCCTCCTTCTCCTCCTCCTCCGCCTCCTCCTCCTCCTCCTCCTCCTCCTCCTCCTCCTCCTCCTCCCCCCTCCTCCTCCTCCTCCTCCTCCCCCCCTCTCCCTCCCCCTCCCCCCCCTCTCCCCTCCCCCTCCCCTCCCCCTCCCCCTCCTCCCTCCCCCTCCTCCTCCTCCTCCTCCTCCTCCTCCCTCCTCCTCCTTCTCCTCCCCCTCCTCCTCCTCCTCCTCCTCCTCTCCTCCTCCTCCTCCTCCTCCGCCCCTCCTCCCTCCTCCCTCCTCCTCCTCCTCCTCCTCCTCCCTCCTCCTCCTCCTCCTCCTCCCTCCTCCTCCTCCTCCTCCTCCTCCTCCGCCGCCTCCTCCTCCGCCTCCTCCTCCTCCTCCTCCTCCTCCTCCTCCTCCTCCTCCTTGAGGACGCCTCCACGCCCAGCAGTGCCTCCTGCCGCGGCCTCCTGCCAACTTCCGGCAGGGCCCGGCAAGGCTGGAGGGCGGCCTGCTCGATCGAGCCTGGGCGGGCCGACCTGCGCCCGGCCCACCTCCTGCCGATCTCGCGCCGTCGGCCTCCCGGCGGCGGCGGCGCCGCGCAGGACGCAGGCCCGCCGCGGTGCCGCAGGCACTCCGAGGCCCTCGGCGGAGGCCCTCCGGGCGCCTTGGGACCAAGATCCGCTGGGTGGCGCCGGCTCCGTCGACGCGCGGAGCCGAGGGCAGGCCAGCCACACGCCCACGCCTGCCGCCGGCCCGCCAGCACGCAGAGCAGCCACCGACGGCCTGCCGCGGGCGTCCTCCCCGCTGTGGCCGCCGGCCTTGCCGTGCGGCCGGCCGGCGCCTTGCCGCGCCAACTGTGCCAGCTGATATTACCAGTTCGAAACATATCCCTATCCCCTGTGTTTGATATCATCTTACCTCGATGCCGCTCTTGAGGATTCCCTCAGTTTCTGAGGGCCTGTTCCTAAGATTGTCCTCGCTTTTTGCTCGCCCATCTTAGGTATAGGGATACGTTCGAGGCTGTTTATGATATGGCCTGCCTGCACCTGGGGCTGTGTGCAATGGCTCTTGACCGTCTGCATCACCACACCGTGGACGCCGGCCCCGCCGCAGTCGCCACTGAGCCACCAAGCCTCACGCCGCAGGTGGCGCCACGCGTGCAAGAGGTGGTGCGCTCCTGCGGCAAGTCATGGCGCCCTCCAGAACGAAGCTGGAGGCCGAGGCGACATGCAGCGGGGGGGTGTAGTGGCGCAGCACCCACACGACGGCCTGCAGCTCCGCGCCGTCGATGCCGAGGTACACCAGGTCGAGCTTGCCCGAGATGCTACACCCGAACTGGCCCAGCTTGTCGACGACAATTGTCGACCACCCAGCGCTGGCATAACGCCCATATTCGCCCTCGAAGACCGAGCCGTCCACGAACACCTTGCCAGCAGGAAGAGCACCACCATGAACGCCGCCGTGCCAACACACCTGTTCATGTGCAGCCCACAGCCCGCGCTCCAGCAGCGTGCGCACAAGCTCGCATGCCGCCGTAATTGGCAAGTCAGCCACAGTGCCAATGCCGCAGCATGCTGGGCTGACAACAGCATCTGCAGTCCCCGTCAGGATGAGGGGGCGGAGGAGGATGACGACGATAACGATGACGATGCCGATTACGATGAGGATGGTGATGAGGATGATGATGATGGTGATGATGATGGCAAGTATGATGATGGGAATGGTAATGATGATGGTGATACTGGCGATGCGACGGATACTGATGATGATGATGGCGATGTTGGTGTGGCAGTGACAATGATGATGCCGTGGATACCGATTGTGATGATGATGCTGATGCTGATGCAACTGATGATGGTGGTGATGCCGATGCTAAGGATGATGATCATGCTGCTGATGATGGTGCTGATTATGATTATGATGATGCTGATGATGATGGGGATGTGGATGCTGCTGGTGATGATGGTGATGGTGGTGATGACGACGTCAATGATGGTTATGGTCATGCTGCTGCTGTGCCTGTTGTTGGTGAGGATGATGATGATGATGGTGATGATGATGATGATGATGGTGATGAGGAGGATGGTGATGGTGATGATGATGGCAAGTATGATGAGGATGGGTACGGCAATGCTCATGATGGTAATGACGATGCGGCTGATACCGATAATGATGATGATGATGATGATGATGATGATGATGATGATATTGGTGATGGTGATGATGGTGCTGTTGATGATGATGATCTTGCTGCTGATGATGATCAGGCGTTAATGGTGGTAAGGACGACGAGTATGACAGTGGCGTTGATGATGTTTATGATGTGGATACTGATTGTGATGATGATGCTGATGCTGATGCAACTGATGATGGTGGTGATGCCAATGCTAAGGATGATGATCATGCTGATGATGATGATGCTGGCTATGATTATGATGACGCTGATTATGATGGGGATGTGGATGTTGTTGCTGATGATGATGGTGATGGTGGTGATGACGACGTCGATGATGATTATGGGCATGCTGCTGTTGCTGTTGTTGGCGAGGATGATGATGATGATGGTGATGATGATGATGATGATGATGATGATGATGATGATGATGATGCTGATGCTGCTGCTGCTCCTGCTGCTGCTGCTGATGATGATGATGATGATGATGCTGGTGGTGATGCTGACGATGGTGGTAAGGATTATGGTGGGGAGGAGCAGGAGGAGGCGGAGGAGGAGGGGGCTGAGCGTTAGCATACGCTGCGATCAACCTCCGTTCAGGGTCCGTGCAACGCGGACAAGGACAACTGCACGCCACAATAGCCATACCAAGACAGGGCAGAGGATGTGCGGAGAAACAGCTCGAGCGGAGACAGAGGAGGAAGAAAAGGATGGAAAGGACAAAGAAGGCGACATGGGTTTGGAAGGCTCCCACACTCATCGCCTCCTCACGAGACCCTCCCCCCAGGGGGGGGGGGGGGGCGCCATGCGCACGAACTCGCGCACATGCGGCGGCCACGGCTGCGCCGCCAGGGCCTCGTCGGCCGCCTCGCCCGACGGGCGGCGGGAGGCAAGGTGGGAGGGGACGGGGGCGAGAAGAGGAATACGGGGAGGAAGAGGAGGCGGGGCGGGCAGGAGGAGGAAGAGCGGAGCAGAAAGAGGATGAGGAGGAGGAGCAGAAGGAGGAGGAGCTGGAGGAGGAAGAGGTGGGAGGAGCAGGAGGAACAGCTGCAGAACGAGGGAAGGGGGCGGGGCAAGGGCAAGAGGAGGAGGAGGAAGAGGAAGGAGGGGCGAAGAGGAGGAGGAAGAGGAAGGAGGAGGGGGGAAGAGGAGGAGAAGGAGGAGGAGGAGAACGAGGAAGAGAAGGAGCAACAGCGTTAGAAACATCAGCAAGAGCAGGCGGAGAAAGAGCTGGCGGCTCCTCGTGTGCACTGGCCCCCCAATAACGCCATGACAGAGCACACGACGGCCGTGTTGCTCCTCGTCGGGCCGAGGGACCCCCACGGATGGTTCCGACCAAAATCTGCCTTTCGGGTCGGGAGCTCTTGGCATGGTCTGTTCCACGACCTTCTGCTGCTGCTCCAAGCGGGGGTCGGAATGGATGTGCTACGCTGTTGGAAGTATACACGGGCTGACCGCCGGGAAGGCCACCGATGTCCCACGGCCGCGTGTCAAGGCCCTTGAACCGTAAGGCCATTGCGACGGCGAAGTCTCAACCTATAATTCAACAGCATAAGCTAGGCGAAGGTGATCTGGCATCGGAAGCATCGGCTGAGCAGCACTAACGTCGGAAGTGCAATATAACGCAACATAGTGAAGCAGCGTTGAAACTGGAGCCATAACGATCAACAAATAAACGCGTGAACGCAATGTGAGACGGCCTTCGACGATCAATAGGTTCATCCGTCATCCTGCATCCTTTCCTGCTTCTGCACCTGCCGCCTTGCTCCTCCTGCTTTTCCTGCTCGTCTTCATCATGGTCGCGGTTCTCATCAAACTCATCATCTTCAACCTACTTCCCTGCAACATGTCCCCCTCTTCCTCTCCCCTAATATCCTTGTCTCGTTCCTTCTCCTCATCCACTCCATCCCGGCACGCCTTCTCCTGTCCCATCTCCTCCAGATACTTTCTCTCGCCATTTCTCCTGCACCTCCCCTCCCCCTTTCTCCTCATCCTCCACCCTCAATTCTTCCTCCCGGTTCTCCTCGGGAAGGAGGAGGAGGAGGAGGGATGAGGAAGAGGCCACCTAGGGGGCAAGAGGAAAGAGGAGGAAGAGGAGGAGGTGGAGGAAAGGGAAAGAAGAAACAAGAGGAGGGAGGGGTCAGCCGGATGCAGCCTTACATTGCAGCAGTCCGTGTGTCAATCCTTGAGCGACTGTTCTTCCCCAAGAGCTAAAGTAAGAGCGGGATGCGCGATCGTGCCCCCCCCCCGCAGGACAAGGCGGCCCAAAGCACGCGCATGCCAGTGCGGGCGGAATGGCGTCAGCCATGACCAGGAGAAACTATTGCAACGCAAACACCTCGTCGCAGACACGGCTCGTCAAGGCTCTGGGGCTGCAACACCACATCGCAAATGGGATATAGGAGGCCATCAGTCGTGGATGGTTCGGTACACGACCATCACAGGCAACTGGACACATCCACAGATAACGAGCTGGTTAAACTGCAAGGGGCTGGCTTTTCCACGAACACACATCGACTGCGCGTGGAACGCAAGACCGAACAACCTTGAAGGTTGTTCGGTCTTGCGTTCCACGTAACACGTAACACGGTTCGGGAAACCTTCGGTGGAGACCTCCCTGCCAAGCACGGTCTCGGGGCGCCTTTGGTCGAGACTGCAGCATCTTTATGCGCCATAGGTGGCGACCGCGATGCGCCCTGCTGTCCTCCCTCTTGGAAACTTCCGAAGGGGCTAGACGGCTGATATACGAAGCACACGGGCCAAGACACCAGAAGGTGCGACACACGTGTACAAAGGTAGCCCGGGCCCAGCATCAAGGCCAACCCAAATTCCCGCTAGCAAGAAATTTGAAAAAATCCGCAAAGGCCAAATAGGGAGCTTGACGCGAGACAAGCTTTTCCATGAATATGCATCGACTGCACGTGGAGCGCAAGATCAATCAACCTTCCGCGCCGTGGAAGCAACGAACATGTCACGGAGACGGTGCGTCACGGACTCGGTGCGCCAGCCGCTTTGGCGAGACCTCTCGCATCTCCACCAAGACCCGATGAACGACCGGACCGTTACGCTCGAAGTCAGCAAGCAGGATGTTCTTTTGCAACACCGAGCCCCCAGATGGAAACCATGCGCACAGGCGCAAATTGATAGCAATGGAGGATGAGGAGGGAGGAGAAGGAAGGAAAGGGGCCGAATTGGGACCTTCGGCCGACACGTCACGACACGCATGGTCCCAGTGGACACCAGACCTAAAACGGGTCTGGTGCTGGGTTCGCGGAGGAGGAGGGGGAAAGAAGGAGAGAGAAAAGGAAGAAGATGAGGAAGAGGAGGATGAGGAGGAAGAGCAGGAAGAGGAGGAAGAGGAGAGGAGATTAATACAGAGGAGTTAGGAGGAGGCACGAGGAGGGAGAGAGAACCACGAGGAGGGCCACCGCGACGACGACGAAGACGACAGGCGACGACAACCCCCCCCCCGCCTGATGCCAGGAGCGCGTCGAGGAGCCGCTGCGTCCTCTCGGTGCGTCTCCGGCCAGGGCCAGCGGCGCGAGCTCGGCCGAGCACTCCTCCACTGCATGGGGGGGGTTTTCAACACCGCCTGACCCTCCTGTGGCCCACACTCCTCCTCCTCCTCCTCTTCCTCCTCCGCCTTCCTCGCCACCCTCGCTTTCTCCTCCTTCTCCCTCGCCGCTGCTTTCTCCACCTTCGACTACGCTTCCCCCGCCGTTCCGCCGATGCCACCCCTCCTCCTCCTCCTCCTCCTCCTCCTCCTCCTCCTCCTCCTCCTCCTCCTCCTCCTCCTCCTCCTCCTCCTCCGGGCAAAGGGGTGTCTGGGTGTACTCCTTCGGCTCTCTCCACCTCATCGTCCTCTTCCTCGTCACCCTTCTCCTCTCCACCTCCATTCCTCTCCCTCCTTCCTCTCAAACACCGCCTCTGTCTCCTCCTCCTCACACCCCTGTCATCCTCTATTTTGGCTCCTCCTCCTGCTCCTCCTCCTCCCCCTTTCCGCCTCTTCATGATCCTCTTATTCGGAGTGGGGTGTGGAGAGGAGGGGAAAGGTGAAAACAGAGGGGGACGCTGGCGAGAAGGAGGAGGCAAAAAAACAAATGGTGGAAAATGTCATGGCGAAGTGGGGCACCGTCCATGCCACATGGAGCTTATGACCGAAGGCATTCCCTCTCCTACCCCTCTTCCTCCTCCTCCTCCTCCTCCTCCTGCTCCTCCTCCTCCTCTCCTCCTCCTCCTCCTCCTCCTCCTCCTCCTCCTCCTCCTCCTCCCCCTCCTCCCTCCTTTCTCCTCCTCCGCCTCCTCCTCCTCCTCCTCCTCCTCCTCCTCCTCCCCCTCCTCCCCGGAGCGAACACAGACGTGAACGGCGACACCAACACCAGAAGCCGACGCACCCACAGCGAGACCGAAATCGACCCAAACTGGCGGACCGAAGGCAACCTGGAAGGACGCACCTGAGCAGCATCCGACCGAGCCGAACCGACCGAATGCAGCCGACTGTGATGAAACAGAAAGGTACCGATAACGCTACTCCCCGGACCTCTCCGGGGTGCGTTCTGGCCAGGATTTCGAGACGGCTCCAGCGGTGGCGACGAGGGCCTCCCAGGAGGCCGAAAAAGGTGAGCACGAGGGAAAGGTAGTGGTATAGGTACTTCTTGTTGTTGTCCTCTGAGGCTGCGAACCGGCCCAACCGAAATCGACCGAAGCCGGCGTACCGAAGGCAACCTGGCAGGACGCGTCTACGCGTCGTTCATTCCTAGTCGTGCTCCGTTCTAAGTGTGCTCGTTTCTAATTGTTCCTGGCCCCCTCGTGGTCAGGAAGAAGCCCAGGATAGAACAATTAGAAATGAAAGGATCTTGGCCCCCCAAAAAAATCAAAGAACTCTCGAAAAAATAGAAATGAACCATGTGTACGCAGCATCCGACCGAGCGGACCCCCTGAGCGCGAAACCCGCCCGCCCACAAGAAGCTCCGCGTCGTGCCGCAGCGCAGCCTCTGCGAGCCGCCAGCAGCGCAGCGAGCCGGGCAGCTCCTGTGGGGATCGCGCCGGGCCGAGCAAAACCCGAAGTCCGGAAGTCACAAGCGCGGGCCTTCCTACTCCTCCTCCTCCTCTTCTTCCTCCTCCTCCTCCTCCTCTTCCTCCTCCTCCTCCTCCTCTTTCTCTTTCGCCCCCTCCTCCTCCTGGCCCCACCTTCTCCTGCTCACCCCTCCTGTGGGGATCGCGCTGGGCCGTCGCGGAGGGCCCCACCCTACACCAGGCACACAGCGAGAAGCCAGGAGGAATAATACGGAGAAATGATACGATACAGTAGACATGATTGGACGAACTGGCCCCGACCAGAAAGCAGGGATCGACCTAGACAGTGTTTGTCGTTTTCGTTGTGTGTTCGTTTTCCCTCGGTTTGTCTTCCATCCACCTCTGCTACAAAACGAACTCGAAACGAACGGCCCACGAAATCGCCAAAACACCGTTTAGGTCGACACCTGCCGGAAAGCAGACGCAGGCATCACGGGCACATGGGCAGCGCGTCCCACAATACCCCCCCTGCCAGTTTCGCACGCGTTCATGTATCGAGACAGAGACACATAAGTAAAGAGATGGGTGAGGCGGGGAAAAACAGCAGGGAGGAGGAACAGGGAGGGTGCAACAGAGAGGGCGGGAATGGGGGGAGGAGAGAGCAGGGAAACGGTGGATGAGCAGGGACAGTGGGGGGAGGAGGAGCCGGGAGGGGGAAACAGAGAGGACGGACTCCGAGCCCCGGGCCCTCCGTGGGCCCTCTTGGGCAGCTCCCTGCGGCCAGGCCCACCCCTCTCGGGGCGCCTCCTGGTGCCCTGCTGGGGCCCCCTTAGGGCCTCCCTTGGGGCCCCCTCGGGGCCCTCTCTGGGGGCTCCCGTGGGGCCGCCCTGTGCAGCACATCTCGGGGCCCCCTTGGCGTGCCTCGTGCCTCCGGGAGGCCCCTCTCCTGCGCGCCCGCCTCCGGCCGCCGGCGGCCAGGGGGGCTGCCGGCCCGCACCCGCCGGGCGGGCCCCAGACGGGTGGCGCGGCAGGCCGCTCCGCGGGCGCCCGACGGCACCCCGCCGCGAGCGGCGGCCGGGCGGCGGGCGGGCGGCGGGCGCGGGCGGCGGCGGCGGCGGGCGGAGGCGGGCGGGCGGCCGCGGCCGGGGGCTGCCTGCAGCACTGGACGGGTGGCGCGGCAGGCCGCAGAGCGCCTTGCCGAGCAGGCGGGCGTCGTAGGTGGCCTCGCACCTGCCTGGGCGGGGGCCGGTCGTGGGGGGAGGGGGGTCCTCGCAGGAGAAGGAGGCGGAGCAGAGGGATAGGATGGGACTCGGGTAGGACTGCCCACTCGTGCTTGCACCTGTGCTCACAGCTCCTGCCTCAAGCGATCCCATGCCTACCGTACAAGGTTCTGGGCACCGCGCGCCGCACAGTTATGACAGACCTGAGTGGAAGGGGGGTTCTTGCAAGAGGAGGAGGATGAGGAGGAGGAGGAGGAGGAGGCGGAGGAGGAGGAGGAGGAGGAGGGAGGAGGAGGAGGAGGAGGGGGAGGGGGGGAAGGGGGGAGGGGGGGAAGGAGGAGGTGGAGGAGGGGGAGGAGGGGAGGAGGGGGAGGACCGAGGAGGAGGAGGGGAGGAGGAGGAGGAGGAGAGGAGGAGAGGAGGGGGGGGCCGGGGGGGGAGGAGAAGAGTCGCGACCAGACCACCAACGGCTAGCACCAGCGACCCGGAATGGCTTGGGCATTGGTGTTCTCGCGAGGGGCACTCGAACCCAAAGCCTCCCACTGCAGCGATACAAAGCCAGTGTGGCCCTAAGCGGCTGTTGCACGCGGCGCCCCGCCGAGAGTGCCCTGATTGGGGGGGAGCGCTCAGGCCTGGAGACGGCCCCCCATGAAGGAATATCTAGCGGGCGTCTCAAGACACACCCCTCCACACACTGAGGAGGAGGATGAGGAGGATGAGGAGGATGAGGAGGAGGAGGACGAGGAAGAGGAGCAGGAGCAGGAGGAGGAGGAGAGAGGAGGAGGAGGAGGAGGAGGAGGAGGAGAGAAGGAGGAGGAGGAGGAGGAGGAGGAGGAGGAGGGGAGGAGGGAGGAGGAGGAGAGGAGGAGGAGGAGGGAGGGAGGGGGAGGAGGAGGAGGAGGGGGAGGAGGAGGAGGAGGGGGGGCGATCACGAGATACAGACAGCTCCAAGCTACCACCACATTGCAAGCTGGGCGGTCGCAATGCAGATGGGGACTGCCACACCAGCAAACCCGTAGCGGAGATGGAACGAGAAATGGAGCCGTCCCTGATGACCCCCCCTTTCCTCCTTCTCATATTTCTCCTCTCCTTTCTCGTTTTCTCCTCGTCTTTCTTCGACGGACCAGTGCAGTCGGGGATCGTAGAAGTGGGAGTTGGCCACGGGACTCACCCCGGGAGTGTGTGGCGAGACATGGATGGGCAGAGCAGCTGGTAGAGAGGGGCGGCGGCTGCAGCAGACAATATCATGAGCAGGTTCACGACCGAGAATGCAGCGCTGCCGGAACGGCTGGAGGGGCTCAAGGCGGAACTCGGCAACGACTCCGCGCTCTCGACGAGGTTCCAACTCGTGGCCCCGTCCTTTCGGCCGCGCTGTCGGGCCGCCTCCCGACCAAGCTGCGGGTGGCGAGTCGCAGTCCCTGCGAGCGCCTTGGCTGAGGCATCACAGACCGAGCTTAACTCCATCCAGAGGCGCTTCCAGGCTGCTGTGCCGGCGGTGGGGGCCGTGGCAGCAGGAGGGGCAGTGCTGGCGGAGCAGTCGCTGCGAGCCGACACCGTGGACTCCGTGCCCGTCGCAGGCGCCGCCGCCCCCGTGCTGGAGCCACGTCGGCGTTCGGTGCACGTGCAACGCCGTGGCGTGCTTCCCGGCGTTCGGCGTTCGGTGCAACGCCGTGACGCACGTTCGGAGCCACGTCGGCGTTCGGCGTTCCCGGACCCCTCCGAGGTGGCGTGCTGGAGGCCGCTTGCCGCGGGCGGCGGCGCGGTCAGGGCCACCACGGGGGGACGACTGCTCTGCTGCCCGCGTCGCAAGCGCCGCCGCCAAAGAGGAAGCCGACGCTGGTGCCGACTCCCAGTCCGACTCCGAGGCCGTGTTCGACTCGTCGCCCGACAGCGTGCCCGACACGCAGCCCGACGCGGAGCCCAAGACGTTCTCGCAGCTCCCCTTCACGTTCGCGGTGGCCCAGGCTCTGACTTCTCGCCAGGCGGCTTTCGTGACCGAGGCCGTCGCGCCGGTGGTGGTGGCCTTGACGGGAGGCGGGAGGACCGCGACGGGGACGAGAAGCAGTCCGACGCCATCGGGGCGGCGGCTTGGCCAGCGAGGAGCGAGCTGCAGCAGGCGGCGCCGCTGTTGGGCTGCTGTCTGGCGGTGGCATGCGCGCCGCGTGCTCAGCCCCGCGGCCAGCGCGGCTCGCGATGCAGCTGCCACCGACGGCATCGCGGCGGCTGCAGCGAAGGCCCTGGAGGCCATGACATCGGTCGAGTCGCAGTCAGCACCGACGTCCATTTTCGGACCGTCTGCTTCATCAAGTTCGGCGGCTTCCGCCTCAGCATTTGGTCGTCAGTGCAGGCAACAGTGATACAGCAGAGGGTATAGCGGAACTCCTCATTCTCATTCTCGCCCTCCTTCGTCGCGGTCGGCAGCTTGTCTGTCTCGAGCGGCTACGAGCTCAGAGGGCGAAGCAGCAGTTGCCGCGCAGCCTCTGGGTCTGGAGGTTCGCACTGAGTCTGGGGTTCTGCGTCGGCACCGCTGGGCGGCTGGAGGCGCGGTCGTGGTGGGCTACATTATCGTCGAGTCTCTCGTCGAGCTCAGTGGAGGTAGCTGCCTGCATGCCATTATCATCGGTCTCGTCCCCGTGTTTCTTCGACGGGCCACCTGGGGCGTAGGCTAAGTGGCGTCAACCTCCTACT